GAATTCTATTTGACAGCATAGTCATACACTGTGCAGTTGGCCTCAGGGTTAACATTAGATTGTTCCCATTCCTGTGGTTATGATTAAATTCTAGTGGAGTACATAATACATGGTATGAAGAGAAGACATCTAATCCTTGGTGTCCTCTTTCCACGAAAGAGAAAGGTCCTGAGAAAGCCAGTCTTTCAGGTCCTTCATCATTGGTCCAAGAAGATTACCTCATTCTTGTCCTAGGTCATTCTACTTTTCTGCCATGTATGCTCTGGTGCAAGAGGAAAAAGCTTTATGTCTACCTCAGACCTAAACAAATCCCTACTTGGAAACTCTCAACTCTATCTACGGTTGTTGCTCTCCTTAGGGATGAAATTGGGGGGAAACATGGGGCCCTATTTCTGAGGATCTATGACATCTATATACTCCTTTCTCTCTACCTACTCCTTACTACCTAGCCAGATTCTGAAGATTCCAAGCCTTTTATATTTTCCCTCAAAGCCAAAGCAATTGAGGTGTTAAAAGCTGTATCAGAGTTGTTTTCTTTGTCCTCATTCTACTTTTGGTATCCCCTGAAATAAGGAATGTCCAACACTAAAGTAACTTCAATAGAAGAGAAACTGTGAAGTAGGGGAAGGGAAATGAAATTTGAAATATTAGGAAGAAAAAATTGGTTGGTAATTTAAATACATTATCAATCTCATATGATAACCCTTGGGTTGTGAAGACAATGTGTAAATTCCTCAGAGGCTGTCTAACTTCCCACCTCCTCAGATACCCTGAGACACTGTTAGGAACATTTATTCCCCTAAATATCCCCTTAATGATTATGAAAAGTAAAGTACACACACAGTGATCACTATGTACCATTGTTCTAAATGCTTTATATTCCTTAACTCATATTAGCTAATTTAATCTCCAAACAAGCCTTTCAAGTAGCAGCACTACTGTTTCTCTTGTACAGACCCAAGGAGAACATTACAGAGACAGTGAGTTACAAGGGTGTTTACTGAGTTATTCTTGATCACACAGTGAAGAAGTCACAGATCAAGAACTAGGGTACGGGCTGGGGATTTAGCTCAGTGGTTCTGCCACCTACCTCTCAAGGGCAAGGTCCCAAGTTTGATCCCTGGTACCAAAAAAAAAAAAAAATAGTTTCAACCTGGGAGATTGCAGAGTTCTCTGATCTCCTACTCCCTCCCTCTTCCACAAGCAGGGCACAAATTACATCTTCATGTTATTCCCATCTCAAGATATTAGGGCAATATGAGATTTGTAAAATCTTGTCATCTCTTTTACATAGTGGGAAAGCTTCCAATATTACACCCACTCTCCTACTCCAAATATTAACACACAGGTCTTGGATTCCCTCTCATTCTCTCTCTTTTTTATCCTTTCTTTTTTCAACATAAAACTTCCAAATTCCTTCAACCTATTTAAATAGTAACTTAGTATATATTTTAACATATTGATATTACATAGAGGATACATATATATAGCTTATACAGTAATTTCTATGAAACTAATATCAGTTTTAATGTAATAGCCTAACATTATTAAGAATATTAATAAAGCTAACCATAGTGCCATTTTTATGTGCATTATTCTAAAGTCTTCTATTAACCCAATTTCAAGAAGCGATTTATGGTCCTTATTATAATGATTTTCTGTGATCTGATCTGAAGGACAGTCATATCCATGGAGTCTCTGTCCTCAGGTTCTTTAGAAATCTGTGGTACTTGGGGGTTATAACTTTCCTTCATCCCAAAAAGAAAAAGAGCTAGGTGGATCACACAATCTCCAAAATTAACAATCGTAATGGGAATTTAGCTTTGATTAATCCTTTAAATATCAATATATGCACTTTATAGTCAAGAAAGTCAGCAAAAGCTGCTCATTTGAGAATTTTAACATGCGATTTCCTGATTGGGGCCTGAGTTGGAAAGGAGGAGGGAACATGGGTAGCAAATGTCAGAGAGACATACGTGGGAAGAAATTAAAAATGAAGTTGTGCTCGGCTGGCACCCAACTGGAAATAGCCTGAGGAGACAAGAACTCTGGAGCAGGAAAGTTCCCCCAGCTGCAGGATCACCCCGGTAAAGCAACTTAATGGAGAATGTTAATGTATCAAGGGAGCAGAGGCTTCACTTTCTAATCTGCACTTTGCACTCGGCTGTAGCTTCACTGCAGGCATCTGTTCATGAGGAAAACATGAAAATGAATTGCTCCCTACCACCATGACGCTGGTGCTTGCTGTGTGGAGATGTGTATTGTGGAGGGGATAGATAAAGTTCTCTCATTTAGAGGTGGGAAAGGAGATCTGGATTTGTGTCCTAATAATACATAATGAACAGGAATTTTAAATAATGCTCTCTTTTTAGAATTTGCTACCAGTGCACTAAAATTTCTTCTTAAGTAATACATACTTTGAACTCTGTTAAGGATATAATGATGGGGTGTTTCCCTCATTCATGGATTTAAGTCTTCATCAGGATCACAACAAAATTTG